AAGGGCCTTTTTTTTTTTTTTTTTTTTTTTTTTAACACTCACAAGGCACAGCGAGGGGTAATGGTGAAAGTATACACCCCTAGCTACCCTTGCATGTGACTCCATGATAACCTGCTTGTTACGACCCAAATTGATGGGGATCTTTGTAATTTTGTAAGTTCAGACCTTCCGAGGCGTTCAAAGTATACCAAAGAAGGATACACCCGAGAGGGCCGAGACTCATTCTCCGCTGAGTGCCTATCAAGGAGCATTGAGAAAGACTTACGTAGTTGCATGTGGATTCAAAGTTCAAACGCAGGTCTGTATTTCAACAGTTGACAGGTGTACCAACTGAGCATGGGCCCATTGATTGTCATGTTACTTCTCAGGAAAATAAAAAAAGTAAATGCTCTGCAGTGAACACGTAAACCCTTCTGGATTGGTTACCACTTGTGCTTTTGTTTCGTGGGATCCATGAACTTCACCATAAGACCAAGTAGCTTGTGAGCCTTTTCCGCTCTTTTCCAACAACCTGTGGTCCCCATCCCGCTCTTTTCCAACATTCCGATGTCCGCATCGAAGGTAAGAAAAACTTTTTTTCTGAGAATGTGTATGGTTGGTTTAAATCTGCATAGCCCTATTTTGGTTTACTGTTTATTATTACTTATGGCTAGGCTACCAGAGTGGCCCGGACCACTTGCCCGGCCGGGCAAAAAAATAAAAATAAAAAGAAGACATTTTTTCTAGGCTACCAGAGTGGCCCGGGACCACTTGCCCGACCAGGCCAAAAAAAGATTAAAAAAGATTTTATTTTATTTTTGGTAAAGAATTTCTATGTGACCCTGAGGCAAAAGTTGTTCAGTTTATTTTTCTCCATAACATAGGTTTTTGGGGGAATAGTTTTTTTCAGAATTTTTGGATGATTTGTTTTGTTTTTTTTTGTGTGCTGGGACCTTCCCTGGGGCCTGGACCCACTAGCAAGGTATTCTACCACGACGTTCAGGATTTCGATCATGTGTGGCATAGAGTGACTCAGTACGGCCGTCGAATAGATCGGATCTCAACGGCCTGGTAGTTTCCGAGCGGGGACTGTAAAGATGCCCACCTCCCGTCCAATCAGATGCGTCCAAAAAAAAAAAAAACGAAGTTGGACTAACTTGGACATGATAGCTCGTGGCTTTGCGTGGGCGGGAAGTCTGGATTTTATGGGCTCTAAAGGGGGGGGGGGTGATTTCCAGACTTAGTTTTTTTTATTTTGGGCTCTGAGAAATAGAACTTGAAATGCGAAATTCAGATATCGTGGTGGATCTGACAGGAACTCTTCCGCGTCTGTCGGATGGCCTGTTAGAGGCATCATGAGATACATGGGGATGAATGTGTCCCTATAGCCATTACTTGTTCATCGTGGTGGCTGTGTTCGTGGACACATTTTATTGCCACGGTACATCACTATGAAGACTTACTTGAAGGAGATCGTACCAACCCATGAATTCGGGTGCACAACTGTTCTTCATAGTTTTATGTGCTATTTCAATTCATTTTAAATCAGAAAACGATCCATTCATGCAAATAAAAAATCACTTTGTATTTTCCAAAAAACCATAAAACTGTGTCACACGTCGTAGAATACTTCGCTAGTGGGTCCAGGCCCCTGGTCCTTGCATGTTCGGGCCACCCCAGAAAATAAGGTGACCCTGAGGCAAAAGTTAATTCAGGTTTTTTTTTGTTTTTTTTTTTTATATATCGTCAAATATATATATATTTTTAAACAGGCCCTAGCTACTAGTGATAGTGATACGAGCTCCCATCACTAGTAGCTCGGCTACTGGCTCCATTCTATTGGTGGGGAGCTGCACCTGCTGGAAACCGGGTCCAGCGTCCCTCATACATAGTTTAGCTGGAACATTATACAAAGAAATGCCGTAACAGAAAGAGAGCTACCTCTTCAGCATCAACATGCCGCCATATTACTACTTTCTCCACTAGCAGCCCTTCCCTCAGTCTCAACCCAATAAAAAAAGCAAGATACTTTTGCCTATTGATCCAGGACTTAAACCATCACTCTACCCCCCACCACTGAAGATCCACTAATGCCAGGTCCGAAGGGGGAAAGGGATCCGGGAAACATTCTGGAGCTCTCAATATGGCACCTGGCTGGATATCAAACCAATCGTGGAAGATGATCTTGTAATCTCTCTTGATTATTGCCCCATCCTCCTCCCCTCCTGGCCATACTATATTCCCCAGTTTCTCTCTTGGAGAATCCCCCAGCCAGTCCTTTGTGAAATTCTGTATTTTTTTCTTTATATCCTGTTTTTGCTGTAACGTATTAATCCCTTCTTTAGCTCTTTCCCATTGATATCTAACCTCCGTTTCCACCTGTTGTTGCATTAATTCAGACATTTCTTTACCATCAATTCTTACCTCTTCCATTTTGTAAACACATCTTCTATACCATAACACCCATAGCAATGATTTCCTTCCTATGCTAAACAAATTGCATAACATAATTTTCATGGTTCCCAACCGGACGTCCGGATCCCGATCCAGACAGTCCAGTGTCTGGTGTCC